CCTGGCTGCTCCAATTTATGAGGAGGTCTGTCTTGGTCCCCAGAGCAGCCCGAAGTCTTGAAGACAGAAAGGTGTTTCATAGCCACCTCTGTCCCTCCTGGGATATACCTTCTAGTCCAGAGGTGTCCAGGGTAAACTGTGGCACACGGGACCGTCCTACCCAGCCCGGCTCTTAAGCTCCTGGCCGGGGAGGCTAGCCCCCCGGCCTCTCCCCTGCTGTTCCCCCTCCCCTGTGGCCACGCTGCCGCGCAGGCAGCGCTGTGGGCGGCAGGGCTGCGCGCTCCTGCAGGGCAGCGTGTCTGGCTCCAGTCGAGTGGCACAGCTGCCAGTCCTGCTGCTCTGAGTGGCATGGTAAGGGGTCCTGGGGGGCAGTCAGGGGACAGGGAGCGAAGGGGTTGGATGAGGCGGAGGTTCTGGGGGGGGCAGTCAGGGGACAGGAGACGGGGGGGGGTTGGATAAGTATGGGAGTCCTGGAAGGCCTGTCAGGGGGCGGGGGTGTGGATGGGGTTGGGGCAATCAGGGAACAGGGAGCAGGGGGGGTTGGATAGGGGGTGGGGTCCCAGGGGAGCGGTTAGGGTTGGGGGGTCCCGGGAGGGGGTGGTCAGGGGACAAGGAGCAGTGGGGGGGGTTGGATGGGTCAGGGGTTTTGAGGGGGGCAGTCAGGGGATGGGAAGTGGGAGGGGGCGGGGGCCACGCTGTTTGGGGAGGCACAGCCTTCCCTACCCGTCCCTCCATACAAGTTTGCAACCCCGATGTGGCCCTCGGGCCAAAAACTTTGCCCACCGCTGTTCTAGTCAGGACAGCAACACACCTTGATCTCTAAGCAAACTTCATTGACAATAGCAGGAACTTCTCTGTGCACGGAAGGAAGGATGTAGTCATGAGTGTATACACTAGTCCATTCGACATAATTAAAAATACAATCTGCCCTTCCGACAGAGACTGTTTGACACCCCTGATCTAATCTATGTAATCTAGCTAATGTGTTATTCTGGATGACAATTGGACAGACCCTGGTGCAGTTTTATTACTTTGTCTTTTGGTATGTCACCTGTCAGACTTAATGCATGAGAGTTTGGGCAATCTTGCTAACTGGCACATCATGGAAATCAAACTTCCTTAAAGCAAGTATTTGAAAAGCTAATGTGACTGATACACTTTAAAGTGACCTCTTAGGCCCTATATCCTTTCCCTGTCATTTAGACAAACAGAAAATAGAATTTATTTCATCAGTTAGTCATGGCTACAGCTTCTTGTCCCTTACTAAATCCTTTCTCAGGAAAAATCTCCCATTGAGTTTCATAGGATTTCTGTTGGAGTAAAAATGGCAAGATTTGGCTCTTATTTTGTAATTCTTTAAAAAAATAACACGCAATAAAATGTTGCATAAAAAGGATACAGCTTAAGGTGACACAAGCAGAAAAAAATTAATAAAATGCTGCAGCTGCATCCCTTTTTACTAATTTTCAGTGTCTATAAAATTCCGGAACGCATCAGATGTTTCGGGGATGCTATCCGAATCTTCCAATCTTTTAAAGTAGATGTAGGATTTATTGCAGCTATATAAATGTGATTTCTGCCTTAACTTTTGTATTTATAAGCTAGATGGAACATGTGACATCCTCTTGTCAGAGAGCCCAATTCCTTTCTTCATTTGTAGAATTTTGGTGTCAGAATTTTGGCAATCAAAATAGCTGTGGGATATTACTAGCAATTACTGCCCTGTCCACAAAAGGTGCCCCGTTGGTCACAAATGCATTGGAGAGTTTTCTCCAACCATCAAAATTTGCAAGATCTTGCAACATGAAAACTAGTAGAAGAGCAAAGCTGGCTTTTTGTGTATGAATATGCACTAACATTTGGGACGTCTGCCTAAGCAGAGACTGTTAATGCACAAAATTATTTTTTTCCTAGTGCATGGTTCCTAACATTAACAACTGGCATAAAAACTGCTCATGCATTCTTTTCAATCTTTCATAGTTCAGCGGGTGCTGTAAAATGCTGCTGTTCATTTTAATTCAGTGAGTAGAAGTTTTGTTGTGTTTAGCACTAAGGGAATTGCATGTGCTATTAGAAAGCATCCGACAGCCGTCTGGCAGCGGCAACTCACTGCATTACAATCCCACAAAAAGAAAGGGTTAAGAAGTTTCATCTTCAGCAAAGCTCTCAAGGATCTTGCAAAGTGGGATAAAACAGAATACGTTTTCCAAATATCGCTCTCTCCCCTCACCTACCCACCTACTTCACTGAGATGAATGCATGAGAGAGAGCGAGAGAGAGAGAGAGAGAGAGAGAATCCAGTTTCAAGTCCTAAAAAGCTTTACTTTCAGCTCTTCGCTTTCATGAGTGTCTACATTAATTACAACTTCATTTTCAATGTAAAAGCGGTATTATTTTAAAATGATAAAAACACTAAATATTTTTCATTTGGGCAATAAAGAGGAGTGCGTTTCCAACCAATTCACATCAATTTAGCTATTTCTAAACCTTTCTTCCCACCAGTGTCTTTAGCTCCTGCCATGCCCTTTTTTTTTTTAAGGGGTTGGTGAACCTTGTGGAATTCAAGATTTTGAAATGTTGCCAATCTGGTTTTGGGAGCTTGCTGAACTATCAGATTCCTGCCCCCCACCTTCTCCACCCCACAATTTAACTCCATTTGTGATTGTGGCGATTGCTGGGTTTTTTAGTCAAGTAATTACATTTAAAATTAAGGGCATTTTCCATTTTAAGTGAAGTTTCAATTATGTATTAAGGAAATAACTCTAAATCTCTCCACCTGAACAAAATTTTCAGGTTACCACAAGTCCTGAGTAACAGGTGGTACATACTTGCACTGCTCCAGGGATGGGACCAGCAGCAGTCATAATTTGGTCCGTGATTCCTCTCTTGCTCCAAAGGGTAAAAATCTGTGCTAGATCTTTACCAAGTGCATATTACTTCCCCTTCCACTCTATTTTAACTTGTCTGGCTGGTAAGTTGACTTCTCCCACTCTTCATCCCGGCCTGCCTATTCCCCAGTCATCTGCACAAGTGGGGTAGTAGTGATCCTATAGAGGCTACATTCTCTACCATGCTGTTTCCCATGATGCAATTGGGCAGTCCAAAGATAAAGGGACATATCTTAGAAACTTCCCTTCCTAGCGTGGTTGCATATTGTGAGTCACGATCTTGTCCTATGTAAAAAAATCAGACTGGCAGAAGTGGATCCCATCTATTATTTATTCATTAGATTCTCCCTCTAGTCTTTATTATTGTCATCATCATCCTTTCAGTATTGTTTTTTCATTCTGCCTACTCTCTACTCCATTTTCACCCCTCCCCGACTTTTTATGCCATCTCGCCTAAGTAGGGTGATCAGATGTCCCAATTTTACAGGGACAGTGCCAATTTTGGGGTCTTTTTCTTATATAGGCACCTATTACCCCCCACCCCTGTCCCAATTTTTCAAACTTGACCTCTGGTCACCCTACTCCTAAGTGGAATGCACATTCAACAATTTGCAAGTCAGAGCCTAACTTTCCATCTCACACCATCCAGTTCAGTTTAAAATGAGGAAAAATGTGTTTGCTCAGGGTATTGTCTCTCTAAATTCACGAGGCAGAATTTCTTTTCTTTTGTCACACTCAGAAGTTTTGTCTTTTGCTTTAGGACCACTGTTTTCTAGCAATCTAGTTTAGACATCTGTAGAATGATAAAAGCTCATTAGAGGTTGAAATATCTACCTATTTTTTTTGCCTTGCTACACTATTATTTGCTTTGTCTAACTCATAATAATGTCCTTGCACTAAACAATATCAAATGCACTTTTCTTCTAAACCATTTTTTTGGTTCAGTGTTACCCTTTTGAGATCTGGGGCCCTTTATTTGTACCTTAATTCTGGCTGGTTGTTAGGGAGACTTGTTTTTTGGTAAGCACACTCCCCTAAAGGTTTATGCGAATTAAATTGGAATCACACATTTCCTTAAATGATGGTTTTCCACCCTGTTCCTTCTAAGATTCTGATTGTGAACTTGATATTTTTTCATTCTACATATTGGAAAGGCAGATGTCAACACATATCAAGTTGCAGTGGGGGAAATCTACATTGCATATTAGGAAAACTATATCACTAGGAGGGTGGTGAAGCACTGGAATGGGTTACCTAAGGAGGTGGTGGAATCTCCATCCTTAGAGGTTTTTAAGGCCCGGCTTGACAAAGCCCTGGCTGGGATGATTTAGGTGGGGTTGGACTTGCTTTTGGCTGGGGGTTGGACTAAATCATTAAATCACAGAATATGAGGGTTGGAAGGGACCTCAGGAGATCATCTAGTCTAACCCCCTGCTCAAAGCAGGACTGATCCCAGACAGATTTTTACCCCAGTTCCCTAGATGGCCCCCTCAAGGATTAAATTCACAACCCTGGGTTTAGCAAGCCAATGCTCAAACCACTGAGCTATCCCTCCCCCTGGGACTTCCTGAGGTTTCTTCCAACCCTAATCTTCTATGATTTTAATGCAAAGCATTGAACTAATAGTTTATTTGCCGCAACTGTAACTTTTAAAAGCTCTTTCCCCTTACGGTATTGGAATTAAGAAATGCCAGAGTTGTAGGTGTATCCATCCTGTCAAGGTGGATACACCTTGCTAACAGGTGCTCAGCCCGCAAGCACATAGTTAATACACACTATTTCTCTCACTTTCATGTTCATCTTATCACATCCTCAACCAAAACTTTTTCAACATGCTTTGCATATCCTCTAATAATTCAGTTCAGAAACCTTAGCATCACACAACACCTTTATATACTTAATACGAACAGCTCTGGGGCGGAACAGTAATTTCTTACTACAAGCCAGAAACTTTGATTAAAAAGTGAGAGGAGATTCAATTACTGCTTGACTTAAAGCTCTATTTTCCACGCTGGTAAATGCTGATGGTAGTATTTTTCTGGACTCTTCACGAAGCACCACAGATATTTCCTATCATCTCCTTGTTTCATCAATTATTTAAACCCCTCTTACCTATGAACAGATTCCACTCAGTGTCCAAATCGGCCTGATTTGCTAGGCAGCCCTTCATTACGTTGAGGCAGTAGTTGTTGCAAGGTTTCACAGTGGGAAGTCCTCTGCAGTAAGGGCAGTATAACATCTTCATTAGTGCACGGATGCACCCTGGGGTTGGACTGACCTGTGGAGTTTAAGGGTGGTAGAAAAGAAAAAGGAGGAAGTCAATTTCCTATCCCATGAGATACTATGTAGCTGAGATACTCCTCAGGCAGTGGATACAGAAAGGACAGTTTGTGACAGGAGCTTAACCCTTACTAATTCCCTCCTGTGTGACTAATCAATTACTGCCAATTATCTTAATTTGGCACAGACATCAGTGATTTCCAAGAACATAGATGTCAACATTCCCATTTTGACGTCAGTGTAATTCAGCCCCAGATCTCCTGCACAGTGTCTACACAAATATAAAGAAAAACAAAGGGAAATCCAAAGAATAAGTGGGAAGGTAAGGGAAAGATTCTAACATGAAGGATCACAATGGGAGGCATATTCAGATTTGTTCAGGTGTAAATGGGATATCAGACTGTCTTTTCAGAACTACATTGCTTTCTCCAAATACCACTTTAAATGCCAAACTCAGATTTTTTTGGCATTATCTCAAGCAACCAAAAAAAAAGCTTGGAAGGGCAGTTGTGACCCTAAGAGCAGCCAGTGCGAGAGGGCAAGGCACTCCCTGGTATCTAGCAGCAAGTCTCAGCTGACCTGACTAGCTCAGTGAACCCCAACTCAACTGATCTCAGGATATTTATTTAAAAGGTGACTTTTAATATATCATTGGAAAACTAGTAACTCACTGATCATTAACATTCTTGTGTGATTCATGTACCGTTAACATATAAAGAATTACAGATATGTGCTGGAAATATGTTCCAGGGCTTCAGGCGCCCTGCCCTAGACAAAGGGATGTGATTCTGCCTGCTTGAATGTGTCTCCAATGTGAATTGAACAAAGAGAGACAATGGAAGTATATTTACATAAAAGGTAAAAAAAGCCATCAACTAGCAAGTGGGGAGATAGCCTCTTAACTATCATGATGGGGGTGGGGGGAGGAGACTGTAAAAATTAACATGGCATCAGCTCTCTAGTGTACACAGCTAGCTGAGCCCCCAAGGAGGACTTCCTGACTTTGAAGACAAAGATAAACTTTGAGAATAAAAGCAGAGAAACATCATAATTAGCATAACCATCCTTCACCTGAGGAGACAAAGAACCCAAGCACTTTGGCTCTGTGTTGGATCCTGGCTAAGGACTGACCAGCCATGCTGGAAGAATTACTGTGGTGAGAAAACTACTTTGAACCAAAGACTCTAGTTTGTAAAGTTAGGTTTCAGTCTTGGAAGCATATTGTTACTTTCGTTTGTTTGTAACCGTTTCTATCCCAATTCCTCTACTTGGTATCAATTAAATATCTGTTCTTTGTTAGTAAACTTAATCTTGTTTTATTACACAAGCACTTCAGTGCAGTATTTCAAACTGAGGAGTAAAATCCTCAGCCAAACTAACAGGCTGGTACTGTGCACTGTCTCTTTCAAGGAGCAGCAAACTTGACAAGTTTCCGTGAGTGCTACAGTGAGAGGGATCGAGCACTGCAGAGGAGACTGTTTTGGAGAGACTCGGGTCTGGAAGGGCTGTTGGTGTCACCCTGCAAGGAGTAACCAGGCTGGTGGAAACCAGGGTGAAGTCACTGTGCTGTGAGCAGGGGTCTGCTGTCAGGGCTCTGAGCCAAAGCTGCACAGCACAGAGCCACCCAAGGTTCCAGGCCAGGTGGTGACAACACTTCTGGTCTGAAAGAAACCCCACTGCATCACAACAGCACAGCATCCTCTTGATGTAACTTAATGAATGTACCTGGCATAACACAGTAGGATTATTCATACTGGGCCTTATCCAAAACTCATTGAAATAACTGGAAAGACTTCCATTGATGTCAATGAACTTTGGATCAGACCCATTACTACCAGAGGTGATTGTTTAAATTAAGTAATGTTTCTTTGCTATATATACTATTAATTCCTAATTTGCACTGGAAATTGGTGTTAATTGTTTGTTGAGGGTGGAAGAGAAGATGGAGAAATGTATTTTGTAAGAAGATTTGTGTATAATATCTAAATAACTGAGAGACCTTATTTTTGAAATCCCCATCTCCCCACCCTCCTATTTCCCTGACTGGTGTTTTGGTTTTGTTTTGTTTTTTTGTTTTACATTATATCTGCCATTACAATGTAAACTCTTCAGGGCAGGCACTATGTCTACCTCTATGTTCAGAAAGTGCTTAGCACATTTTGGACACTATTACAATAAAAAAAGAATAATGATTCCTTGTCACAATGGATTAAAACATATATTTCCCCAGGCAATGGTGACCAGCACAGGGACATGGCAGAAATCCATCCTGCTCTCTGCTTTTCAGAATGTTTGAAGAGAGCACAGTAATGAACTTGCGATTATTAAAACCATAGAAAAAGTCTGATTTTCTCTTATCCCTGATGTTAAAACACTGATTTTTGAAGGACTGCTGAGTGTATGTTTAAATGAGACTTTTACATGACACTTTTACATTAATAGGGTTCTGCTAAAAATCATAGTAGATGCTGCTGAGTATGCTCAAAGTGGCTTTTCAATCATTTATAACTTTATTTTTAATTTTTAATCCTCCAAACCTAGCAAGAGCACTAATCCCCAGTGAGAGGTCTGTTCAGAGCAAGTTTCAGCTGTTTTGGCTATAATTCTATTCAAGAGAATATAGTTAGATTCCCCATATACACACTGTGGATAAACTTTTATGGTTCCTCTATGGTCATGAAAAAAGGTTGAGGGAATTTTGCTCAAACTTTCTAAAATCTGAGACACAGACCAAACATAGAAAATTTCATTTTAGAAAATGATTTTTTTCAGAAATGTTATGAGCATGTGAAATCAGACACTTATCCTTGAAAACTGGTATTGCAACCATAAATAATTTGCTTGCCACTGGCCATCTCTATTTTATGTATTTTCAAAGCTCTCTTCTTCATCCTCATCTTCAAAAACAGACTCTCCCATGTGGTAATTCTTGTCTGCAGACCAGTTTCAGTCAACAAAAGATCATTCTTTCCATTCAGAATTATTCAAAACCTGAATGGGCTTATGGGAACTTTTGGATTTTCTCTTTACCAGTCCTGTTGTAACTGATATTGATGGAGAAGGAGGCAGAGGGGATTTTTTAAATGATTTCTTTAAATTGGCCCTAAGCCAAAGCAGAGAAATTTACATACGTTTGGGTTTAGAAATAACCAGTTATTGTGTAAATCATACCCTCTCATTCATATTGCGTGGGTTTGCATAACTGAGAAATAACCATACAGTTGAGTCAGTAATTATACCACATCCCTGTATTTAATATGACAATTCCATTTCAATATAAGTATACTCAAACCGCAGCACATCTCAACATTACCCCTCTGAGCCTTGATTGTGCCTAGTAGATTACATTTCTGCTTGCAGCCAAGCGTTTTATTTCATTTTGTGAGCTTTTTTGACAACCTTAACTTTAGATAAATGTGTATTTTTATAGGCATACAAAAAATATAAAGTAAAATTCCTGAAGGCCTCATTACTGAACACTTGTCTTTCCCCCCTCAGCAATTCTAGATTGAATATTATTTCATCCAGAAGTGACACAGATTGTGTGAGTGACTTTCAAATATACATAACTGAAGAAAAAACCTACTTGGGTAAAAGCCATTAAACTGTACTCTCCTGTATGCCACCACATTTGCAATGTGTCTTACTTTGTTATGTACTTGACCTGCTTTTAAAGCAAAAGGCTGTGGCACTGTCAAGTACATAAATCTAAATCAATCTTCCCAAGAAAAAACATAGTACACTTTTGTTAAAGACATCTAGTCACGTTAAACACACACACATACATGTACATACATTTCTTTTTCTCTCTACGCTGGCATTTATGGACGATTTCTGACTTGAGTATTTGGTAGTCTTGATACCCCATCTGGAACTTTAAATGTGCCATCAGGCTATAATTAATACTTCAAAAGCAATGTTTTTCAAACCTTATTCAAGTGCAAAGAAGCAGATTATAGGAAACAATATATAGGTCCATATCCTTCTCTTGCTACATAATATCGTGAAGGACAGAAAAAATGGTTGCTCACCTTCTGGTAACTGTTGTTCTTCGAGATGCGTTGTTCATGTCCATTCCAATCAGGTGCGTGTGCGCCGCATGCACGATAGCTGGAAGATTTTCCCCCTAGCAGTATCCGTAGGGTCGGCCTGGGTGCCCCCTGGAGTCGCACCTTCATGGTGTCCAATATAGGGCCCAGCCAACCCGACGACCCCTCAATTCCTTCTTGCCAGCTATTCTGACAGAGGGATAGGAGGGAGGGTATTGGAATGGACATGAGCAACACATCTCAAAGAACAACAATTATGAGAAGGTGAGTAAACATTTTTTCTTCTTCGAGTGCTTGTTCATGTCAATTTCAATCAAGTGAACCACAAGTTCAGGATGTGGGGTCGGAGTTGTCCACTGATTGGAGTACCGCTCTACCAAAGGCTGCGTTGTCTCTGGCCTGCTGGGTGATCGCATAGTGCGTGATGAAAGTGTGTATGGAGGACCATGTCGCTGTGCTGCATATTTCCTGGGTCAGAATCTGAGCCAGGAATGCCATTGAAGAGGCCTGCACCCTAGTGGAGTGCGCAGTGATCAGAGGGGCAGGCACCCCTGCCAGATTGTAGCACTCTCGGATTCATAACGTGATCCATGACGAGATCCGTTGAGAAAAGACAGGAAGCCCTTTCATTCTGTCCACCACAGCCACGAATAACTGGATGGATTTTCGGAATGGTTTCATTCTCTCGACGTAGAAGGCTAGCGCTCTGCGGACATCCAATGAATGAAGCCTCTGTTTCCTGTTGCTTGAGTGCGGCTTTGGATAGAACATGGGAAGGAAGATGTCCTGGTTGATGTGAAACAGGGAGACAACTTTCGGAAGGAAAGCTGGATATGGCCTAAGCTGAACCTTGTCCTTATAGAACACCGTGTAAAGGGGCTCTGATGTTAGGGCCTTGAGCTCAGACACCCTTCTAGCTGAGGTTATCGCTACCAGAAACGCCACCTAG